AAAAATAGTAAATGATAAAAATAAATACAAACAGAATGTGTCTAAAAACATAAATAGATATACTAAAAAGCAATAATAAATAATAAATACTAATCAAAAGCTACTCTAAAAATGTGCGTCTTGAGCCTACTCTTAAATATATGAACGTTCTCTGCGGCCCTGAGCTCCTCCTCAGACTGTTCCAGAGGGCTCCTGTTTTAAGAAGTTTATATTTTGCTCTGCAATGCATTCTGGGTAGCATCACTGCTTCACCACATTTTGTTTTCAATCAACACAATATATTTGTTTTGTCATTAATGGACCAACAGGCTTACAGCAGAAGTATTTTCACTTAATGCAATAAAATCAGTATTGTACAGGGTGCTATGATAATATTATACAGTACTTATTTGTCAACCAAAAATATAAAACAGTGGAAAATTAAGTATATAGTATTTACTTAAATATTTTACATCAAGGTTTGGTCTGATTCACTTATTACAATGTAGAGTTTGCTTTCTGCTCTCCCTGTATAACTGTATACAGAGCGGTGAGAAGGCACAGGTCCCGTGCTCGCGGTGTAAAAGCACAGGATGGCGCTGAGGCAGGAAGTGACCGTAGCCATGAGGTGAAAAACTGAACTGCGCATATCGTAAAAGCTTACTCAAGTAATTCCCGCATCAATTTGTTTATTAACTTAAGTAAAGTACTGACTTTACAGACACCTTTCAAGTATTGTCTGATGCAGAAATACCATAGATGATACACACCAACACTTATGAAATGAAATTCAACTATGTCATTTAAAAGTTAGATTTTGACAAGAATTGTAAAGGTTACTAATAGTGTGTGGGTGAACAGTAAACTTGGAGAAAAATCAAGTAAAGTATGATCAATAATTTTAGGTGAGGCGGATATAAGGATTTACAGCAGAGGCCTAAAGCAGGGGCCTCATTACTTTAATACTTACAGTCTGTGGTAAATACACGTGCTACAGGTGGTACACGTGCTTAGACTATATTAATATTGTATGTGTAACATTCAAAATAGATTGAGTGAATATTCCCTTTTCCTCATTTAGTGGTTTGCGGAGGAGAGAGCAGCGAGATAAGTTTGGCAGGGGAGGAGCCGTGTGGAGTTAAAATAAATGAATTACAGCTTGCTAAATTATTTGAAAGCATCTTCATTATGATTGTTATATTTATGTATTTATTATAAATGTTAGAGATGCCGGAGAAAAGGCGTCTGATTTTTTTCTGAGTGGGAGGAGACACCAGCGGAGCTGTTTGAGTCAAACGTTCAGCGTTATATTACCAATAGTTTCTCTTTCCATAACGATATTCTCTCTTTTTGGAAAGATCACCAACGTGATGCAAAAGTTTACGTTATTTGCAGTAGTTTTAATGTCTGCGGGTTATTCCAGAGACTGGCCTGCTACAAGGAGTTGCCCGTTTTAACCAGATTGTCGATGTGCGCGGGGCAGAAACTCATAGGCGACGAATATAATCAGTCCGATGTACAGTACGCTAGGCTTAAAGCCACAGATAGTTGTCCAGTGAAGAGAGAAGAAAGAGCGATGAGACGCCAATGTAACCCTGCTCACAAGTGCCACCTGGTGGTTGTTTTGGTCATTGCAACGTCACTGGGAGGGGGGAAAATAAAAGACGCGTGAATCACACGTGAGTCTCGTGTGATTCACGCGTGAAAGGCGACAAAACGGAATGGGACCTACTGTAACATGTCACTAATATATTTTGGAGCGAGGCCATGGAGAGACTTGTACACAAGCAGAGCTCACATGCCGGTTTGTTTACAACAGCGGCCGCATGGCACTGGCCTGCGCCGCAGGATAAGACGCACTACGTTGACAGAAATTTTTAAATTGAATATTACTTATGCACAATTTTACAGCATTTAAAAACGTTAAGAACGTTTTTCCTTCTACAGAAGGAAAAAGACGCATGCACCTCCGGAGCCGCAGGTTGCCGACTCCTAGTTTATACAGTAGTGGAAGCAAATACCGTAGAGGATCAGGATATGTGCAGTTTCAACAATAAAATAAAATGCAATAGTCTACATTACAAGAGGGGAATAAACATGTCTCAGAGTGAGGGAGGTGGACACAGACAACACTATTGTTTGTTACAGGGATGAGAATTGGTCAAAAAAGACTGTAATGCATATTGTCAGCCATTTGCTGGCTCTAAATCTGTTTAATTTGTTCACAACATATTACTTTTGGGCTCAAACATGAACTTTTAATGCAATGCAAAATGTAGGTATCAGAGCTTTATTTAGGGCGTTTAATCGCTCTTCGAGAGGAGAGGGGAGACGCGGACTGTTTCCTGCAGCAGTGTATTTATTGGGTGCACAGATTACTCAAAGACACGCATGGTCCTGTGCGCGTTTATGGGGTTGGGTACATGGCCATGTTGAGGCTGCGCGCTCAGCCACAACACGGCTGGATGCTCACAGCCTTTCGCAGCCGCATTACAAAGCGGCCGCAGATGCCCCGGAACACTGCGGCCGCTGAGGTGGCGGAATCCCGTTCGAGTACATACAGCAGGTGCCCCGCGGATACGCGCGCCCCGCTCGAACAATTCTCAACGGATTTACACTTCTCATAAACATGTGTTTTGTATGAGGCAGACAGACCGGCCCAAATATGGGCATCGGCCCTTTGGGCATTGCCCGGTACGCCCGATGGCCAGTCCAGCCCTGTTCGCTGGCATCCTTGAGCTTGGACTACAAATTCGAAGAGATGCACAGTGGAGGAGGGCTGGGCCGAAGTGTTTTGTTAGACGCCCATGCCCTTATATAGCAGTCCCGCTGCAAATACTGTGACCTAATAATTCTAAACACGTAATAGAGAATGGCAAAATCAGAACGGGTTGAAAATATCTTACCTAAACAGAATATGAAGTGTTCTCTGCAACCCATGAAGAGACTGATTTCAACTTTTTTGCACTTCTAGAGGCTCAGTTGTTTGTTCAAACAGTTGTTTGGGGGGGGGGGGGGTTGCCAGAGATGCCATCCAGTACACATAGCACCAGCCCCTCACTGATCCTCCTGCAGGAAGTGAGTCCACAGGAAGATGGCGGCTATGTGGCATAGCCTTGGTCTTTCAGCAGGAGCTTCAGGCAAAGTGGGCTAAAGTGTCTTGCTCAAGAACACAACAACAGCAGTCATCAGTGGGAGTTGGTGGAGAAGGTCTCATGGTGGGGCTCAAACCCACAACCTTCAGGCTCAAAGGCCAATGCACTACCAACTGAGCCAATGTCGTCGTCCCTGACACACAAGTGATGATCAAAACCTGGTCCCCATGAATTATGAAAACCGGTATGTGTGTAGATGCAACAAAACAGTGTTATAGATCACATGTTACATAGACAGTTGTGTGTTGTGGGCGTTTGTTTGCATGTGGTGCGGAACAGCATTATCAATGTTTGGTGTGCTCAGAACAAGCCACTGAAACCTGAGTCCGCAGAGAGATTGAGCTAAATGTCAGTGAGCCACCTTGAGCCCCACAGAGCAGCAGCCATCCTCCCACAACAGGTTGTGATGCAGGTAAACTCTATGCATGAAGGCAAACTGTATCTGAACATTATATGGTTGTCTCCAATGGCACTTTTGACTGCTTAGTATGAAATGTATTTATAAAGAAAGGAATATCTTATCTTTTCTTTATGGTTGAAAATGTGAGAATTTTGACTATGCATAGTGCATGAATAGTACGCTAATTTATAATGCACATCTCTAACTTGATTACACACAGTGAAATACTCCTTAACTCCTTTCATGTTGGTAGCTGCAAAAGTGGAGCGGAATCTAGAGATTGAGAGCACTAAGATTGAACCAATCAACTCTACCACCAACAAACTCTACGCAGATGACTTGTGTGCGACTATTAGTGAGACCGCTTCATAGCTCATTTTTTAACAACTTCAGAAAGCTTGCTCCACACAGTGGACTGTTGATAGTGCCTAACAGTGTACACTTTTTTACATACATTACTTTGAATAAAATAATATTTTTTTTCTCTCATTATTAGTGAGTTGTGAGAGTCATTGGTTGTTAAATAAATTGTTATTCGAGTTTGAAAATAGAATACAACAGAATGACTCCCCAAATGACCCTGATTAGCAGTTTATGTCCCAGAGCTCTCATTAGGGGTCGGTCGATGTGTTTTTACAGGGTTGATACCAATAATTAGTTGTCAAGGAGGCTGATGACTAATAAACAATAATATGAGTGCTGATTAATACATGTTTGTGTTTAGATACGCTGTATCATTGTTGTTTCCACCTAGGCTGAACAAGACAAATAATTTGATGAGTAAAATAAAAAATGTAATAATGTTGGTCAATATTGGTGCTGATAATCAGTATACCCCTTTGCATAACACAATTTAATAAAAAATGGATTGCACACTATTGATCTTTGTACCGAGTAAAAGATTACCCACTTTTTTCTTTGGAATGTCTTTCATTACTGCGTTACAGCAATAAGCAATACAATACACTTGTAGAATTTGTTATGATAGTCCACTGATTCCTACTCACCACGCTGCACTTTCATTGTGCGGAAGTATGCCGTTTTATTTACAGCACAGACCCGTGCAGACCCCTCTACAGTTGTTGCCCTCTCCAGCCCCTCATTATCTGGCCTATTCTTTAACACCGGGCCTTCCCTTGCCACCTATTTGTGGATGTCCCAGCCAATGAGGGCTGGGCACATGCAAAGAAAAGCACCAATGAGACAACTTTTTGATGTGAATAAGACTTTTTAGAAGAGTCAGTCCAGGGCTTCGAGGAGTGAGGGGACAGGGTGAGATCAAGCTTGAACGCAGGGAGTTGCCCAGTTTAAATCGCAATCCCGCACTTCAGGAAAGTGGTGGGTACCCGAATTGGTGCAGTTTCACATACATTTTTTCTCATCAGCGATCACACATTTGTTTTATGATTTTTCTTCCACCCACTGTTTTGTTTGTTTGTACTGAAGCCCCTCCACTTTGACTGAAGATGGAGAACGCTCACATCAAGGAAGGACCTGAAGTTCTGGCATACTTTGGTGTCACTGAAGATACGGGTCTCTCACCAGACCAGTTCAAGAGGAACCTGGAGAAATATGGCTTCAATGGTGAGAAAAAAAAAAGTGTGATATAACATGAGGATATCGGCATGCTGGAGAGTCAATTTACAAGGGCATTTTGCATTACACTTTTGCACAAATTTATATTGTGAAAATGCGTGGTAAATTATACAAGCACTAATCCATTCAGTGCAATTGAAAAACATGCAAAGTTATTTTTCCAGCAACAAAATGTGCAAACCTCCATACTGCACACGTGGGCTCTTTATTTTAGATCCAGGTCATCATGTGACAATGTTATTGTTTCATCCAGGGAATAAAACACTTAAAACCATAGCATATACACTGCATTTGCTTCTCAGCTGCCAAGTGGATGTTGACAGAAGGACATCAAGCCCAAATAACCAAGTAATTAAGGTCACTGTAAAGGTCAGTCCTTGTGAAGCCACCATTTGAGACAAAGTGGTCACAATCTGGCAACCGGACAAGTAGGTCTTAACAAACCAGCTGCTGCTTAATGGTAATTATTCACTACATTCAGACTGGCACGTCAGAGGTTTTAAATATACACTTGCCGGATCTGATTGAATGAAAATGTACTTGAAATCCATTACTATGAGATGTAATAAGCGTTGTAAAACTTATCCCGTCTGTTTTTTTCCAGAATTGCCTGCTGAAGAGGGTAAGCCACATATACAATGAAATATGCATGTTTCACCGATTGTTATGAAAATTTATTTACTGTTCAATCGGTGGATGCTTGTGTCCACTGGCATTTCACATTCTGCAGATAGACAGGACTTCAGTTCAAACTAATAATAACATGCATGCTAATCTCACCTGAATAGCTGCAAGTGTCTTGAGTAAAACATTACAATATCAACTGTTCACAGCTGTCCTGTGTTTACTTTGTATCCATGCTAAATCTATCTGGATGAATGCAATAGTTTTTTCTGTTGCCAGGGAAGACCATCTGGGAGTTGGTGGTGGAGCAGTTTGAGGACCTGTTGGTCAGAATCCTGCTACTGGCTGCATGTATCTCATTTGTAAGTTTAATTCATTTGAAAGTAGGACTTTTTGTTGATATTTCAAGGAATAAAATGATTAGGAGGACTGGAGCCTCTGGCCTAGGATCCATCCATCCATCCATTTTCTTCCCCTTAATCCATTTCTGGGTTGGGGGTGGCAGTCAGAGCTACACCCAATTCACTGAGCACCAGCCCCTCACTGATCCTCCTGCAGTTTGGAGGGACGGCCGGAAGCCTTGATCTGTCAGCCAGAGCTTCAGGCAAAGTGGGGTTAAGTGTCTTGCCCAAGGATACAACTGCCTAAATACACGAACAGGCTCAATAGTCACTATAGGGAAGCCTTGATAAAATATCGGTATCGGATTTCTGTCCTGATTGGAGATTTTGTTGGATCAGGTATCAGTTTAATGATGGGATGAAAATAATACTATTTATTGGCTGATATTAACCCGGAATGTCGAATGAAGAGTTCATATTTGCAGGATGACACTGAAAAAACACAAAAAGACACATTTTAGAACAATTTAGCTGTGATTTGAGTGTTTCTTTGTTATCAGTTCAAAACGGGTGTCAGCAAATATGAAAAGATATTGATATCTTATATATAAAAAGGTTTGGTGCATCCCTAATACTCAAACACAATTAAACCACTATCATACTAAAATAATCCTTTTTTATCTAATAGGAAGTCCAATTCCCAAAGATGTTAGTGTTCTTAGTAAGTGTTAGTGTTTGGTGATGCTGGTGTAGATCAAGTGATCTACACTGGTCTAAAACTAATTTATTTTCACATATTTTCATGGCCTGTTAGTCAAGCTTAAGCTGGGACTTCTAAGGTCTAAGATGGTCTCAGGCCAGGGAGAGAAGCCATATCCTTGGCCAGAGGTCAGAGAGGAAGGCTTGCTGCTGGAGGAGAGAGGGAGGATGAACAGGGGATTGAGTTGCACAATGGTATTGTTAGTCGCAATGACAAATGAGTGTAGTGGATCCAGAGTCGTGTGAGACAATAAATGTGAGACGTTCACAAGCGTCCTATTCATACACACTGGAATGTAGGAGCGGTGCATGGCGCTGACAGGAGTCTGGAGATCGATTGTGTCTTTGAAGAGCGCAGTAGCTTTTGTTTCACATGACATAAGGGAAGGAGAGTCTTTTTTTAAAGATATATACCCAATCATTCACTTTGTCCAGAAACTGCTCTATGTAACTTTTCTGGCAAAAGGTATGCCACCTGGTTGTTATCTGGTATGTTAAGGAAATCAACTCTCTGGATTGTAGCCGAGCATAATTTCCATCCAGCCTCCAACAGTTGCACTCACAAGCACATACTCATTCACCCTGAAATGTCTGTTGTAAGTGTTTTTAGCAGTAGTGGAAATTAGAGTAAATGCGGGAAATCCACCCAGATACAGGGAGAACAAGCAAACTCTGTACCCAAAAATACCTTAAAGACAGACCGTGATTAAACCCTAACCCTATTAAACAAAATGTGATAAATATCTAATTAGAAAGGACTGTAGAAAAAACATATTTACATCAATTATTGCTTTTATATAATCAGTTACTCGCAGCACACTTTCTGAGAGTCTGAGTTTCTTTCCATAACTGTGTCTTTGCTCCACCAGACTGCAGCTAATCTGTGTGGATGTCAACAGGGAGCTTTTCCGAAACAGTCCTTTAAGAAGCCCCCGAGGGGGTTCACATGGGTCACGTGGGAAGAGGATGACATAAGGCCTAAGAGCGAATGCTTAATGTCACCCGATACAAGTATTCTTCATACATTTAAGCACTGTTTTATGGTCAATACAAAAGCCTGCACACTTATTGTGCTGTAAAACAGGTGCAGTTTATTAATGTGGCGTTTTACACAGATATAAAAGCCTCTTTAAGTCGCTGCATTTTTACATCAAGCTTGAGTGACAATTGGATATCATAAATCATGTTTTAAAAGTAGAACATGCTGTCTATATCCTGGCAAGAACAGCTAATGATACTATGAATGGGCTTAATTTTTTTCTGCAATTGTTCGAAACATTTATGGAAAATGAAAGTGTATATGAATGCATTAAAAACTAGGACAGCCGAACATATCTGCATGTCAAACCCCGATATTGTTGGATCTTAGTTGGATCATAACAATTGTAAACCGCTTTGAGACTCCGATGTGCACTGAAAAGGCGGTATATAAATAAAGATTACTTACTACTACTACTACTACTTAATAACCAGGCAGTTTAGGGCCTGGTTATTACTGTGGGCGACAGTAGCTCAGTTGGTAGAGGATTGGCCTTTGAGCCAGAGGGTCGTGAGTTCGAGCCCACCTTCTACTCCCACTGTTTCCTGTCTGGTTGCCTCGCTACTGTCAGTGTGCCCCAGGGCAGCTGTGGCTACAGAAGTAGTTTATCACCACCGTGTATGGCGTGAAATAATAATGACATGTAAAGCGTCTTTGAGTGTCCAAAAAAGCGTTAAATCAAACCGATGCATTATTGTTACTGTGAATGGAGACCGGGAATACCAGGTGCCACAGTGGGACACTTCACACGTTATTCAGTATGATTCTGGTGTGTGTGTATGACCACCACCAATAGAGAGTCCTTCTGTCAGTCTGCCCCAGGGCTGCTGTGGTTACAGTAGTTCTTACAGTAGACTGAATGCATTTTTTTCATTGTCCATTGTTTATTCAAGAAGAAAGTGTCTTGCAAGCTTATATGCCGCTAACAACAATAAGAAAAGGAAAGATCAATAGACCGAACATATTCACAAGTCATAATAACATACAAGGTCTTCCATCTCAGTGTCCATGTGTATATATATATATATATATATATATATATATATATATATATATATATGACCATACATATGTGTATGTACATGTGTGTAAAATGCCAGCCATACCTTATAGCTGTGTGGTTCTCAGGTACTGGCCTGGTTCGAGGAGGGAGAGGAAACAGTCACTGCCTTTGTGGAGCCCTTCGTCATCCTCCTCATCCTCATTGCTAATGCAGTGGTGGGAGTGTGGCAGGTAAGGAACAGGGTTATTTCACTTTTATTAGCAATCCACTTTACCATGAAATATGTGAAAGACAAACAATACTATTTTTGACATTATTCTTTTTTATGGGTGGTGGTTGTGGTTACCCTTTGACTATTTGGATACAATTTTATGTTATTTTCAAATTGACACCAAGAAGATTAATTCCCTTGGGCACGAGTACAATCAATTAATCAATATAACTGAGTAATTGCAAATTTAAATAATCGTTTTAATAAGATAAAATAAATAATAAACTCGCTTCTGATCAAAGTAACCTTACCTTGTAAATATTATCTGGAAAGATTTTTATAACAGTCAGCTACTAAACAGTAAATACTACCAAACTGTTATGCAGGCGCAGCCCGAAGTGGATCAATTCATTTACAAAAGCTTTCAGGCTTGAGATATTCATCAACATGTCTATGATATCATGTAACGCGCTGCAGCCTGAGTAACTTCTCCTGCGCTCCCGTCTTTCACACCCACTTAAATAGCCCTTTATACGTACACAATAAAACCCACAAAAAAACAACAGCTTATTTATATTTACTCATTACGCGGCTCCTCGCAGCAGCAGTAGAATGCTCCATTGATTTGAATGTAATTTCAAAACGTTCTACCGGTCATTATTTCTTGATAACCGACCTCTCAAAACAATAATGGCCGCTGGCCATGGCAATGAATTCTCTGCTTGTTATTCAGATGTGTAGATTACTCCGCAAGTAGTTCGGCCAAGCTATCGGGGCTTGCCAAGCTCAATAGACACGTATAACAAATCAATCAACACATTTAAATGTTAATAGGAGAATACATTATACATATACATTCGTAACAGACGTGCACAGAGGTTTTCAGAATTATCTGTTAACGTTTTCACGACAAAAATACTGTAACCCGGAAGCAACCATTAACATGAATTAAACATTTTAAGTCACATTTGCAGAGGATCGACTTATGGATTTAGGTTGAGTTTATATTTGGGTCACTCACCGCTGATGTTCAGAATTCATTGTTCAGAGTTCTAGTTTTGAAATCGCTTGCCTAACTGTTACTCGCCTGCCATGGAAAAACCTTTGGGAACCATTTTATTTACAGTCATTAAATAAACCTTTCGGCATTCATAGAAGTGGACTGAAGTTTATTTTGTGTGTGTTCGGTTGGTACAAAGCCATAAATAATAAGCGGGATAAAGGATAGTACGCAGGTCATTATCGGAAAATTACCTGCGTACTCTACATTATCCCTTGCTTATTTATGTCAACATCTAGCTCGCTGTCCATTCTACAGTTCAAGGAAGGCCAGAATAAGGCACCTGATATCAGTGCAAGGTGAAAATGGCAAAGGTTAAGCTGATAGGTTCGTGGGTGCGGGCAGACAATGGCACGCCTCAAAACTCACTCCACAGCCCTCACTGGGCAGCCCTTTGTAAAAATTCAGCGGGATGCTCAAATTACCATTAGCTTTGTGTGTGCGCACGCGTGTGTGAGATTGAGGAGTTCATATCAACGCTGTGGCGGTCATTTGGAAACTATGCACAAGGATTCACACATGGGGCGTAAGGGAGGATTGAGTGGGAGGAGGGCATAAATTGGGCTTTACACTTTGAGGCGGTCGTGGGTATAGCCTTGGAAGGAGCAGGACAGTCACTGCGATTGTGGACATGCTGTTCAGATGAGGGCATTTGTCTCTCACTCCCTTCTCTGTGTGGAGACAAATGCCCAAAAATAACAATTGTAAAGCGCTTTGTGACTCTGGTCTGAGAAAGGCTTAGCTCTCACTGAATAAGCATATGGTTTTGTGGGATGGGAAAGCATCCAACTGCATATGCCTGCTGAGAAAGGTGATTGATGAGTAATACATATCAAAGCTGTATAATTGATTCTCTGCTGCGGGTCTCCTCTATGGTGCTATTTTATTGTACTGGAGGACTACCTTCACTCAGACAAGTCAGTTTATCTGATAAGTTAAAGACAGCATGTTGAGGTCGGATTTGCTAAAAAAAAAAAAAAAAAAAAAAGATTTACTTAAACTTTCTGTTGGGACAAACGTACAAATGTATTTCTTAAACAAAGAAGTTTAGCTTTTTATAGGATTGGGAGGTTCTTCTAAAGCAGACAATTATATGATAGCAATGTACATAGGTACAGGAGAAACAAAGTTACATTTAATTTAGTAAAAGATAGTTCAAGTGTAAAAACAATAGTACTTCACGCAGATTTGTAAAACTATTTAAGTGTCATTGATAGCTATCTTGATAATCAAAATTATATATTGGGCTATATATATGATTTTAATAATTAAAACAATTTAAAAAATGTTGAGTGGTTTTTACTTTTACCAGTATTTATTAGGGCTTTGAAGTTCAATATTCGAATGGTATTCAAATTATATTATATATATTATATATGTATACACATACACAGTGCCTTGCGAAAGTATTCGGCCTGAACCTTCTGCCATATTTCAGGTTTCAAACAAAGAGTTTCAAACATTTTAATTTTTTGTCAAGAATCAACAACAAGTGGGACACAATCGTGAAGTGGAACCAAATTTATTGGATAATTTAAACTTTTTTAACAAATAAACTGAAAAGTGGGAAGTGCAATATTATTCGGCCCCCTTGCGCTAATACTTTGTAGCGCCACCTCTTGCTGCAATTACAGCTGCAAGTCGCTTGGGGTATGTTTATCAGTTTTGCACATCGAGAAACTGGAATTCTTGCCCATTCTTCCTTGCAAAACAGCTCGAGCTCAGTGAGGTTGGATGGAGAGCGTTTGTGAACAGCAGTCTTCAGTTCTTTCCACAGATTCTCGATTGGATTCAGGTCTGGACTTTGACTTGGCCAGTAATGGATACGTCTATTTGTGAACCATTCCATTGTAGATTTGGCTTTATGTTTTGGATCATTGTCCTGTTGGAAGATAAATCTCCGTCCCAGTCTCAGGTCTCAGGTCCAGAATGGTCCTGTATTTTGCTCCATCCATCTTCCCATCAATTTTAGCCATCTTCCCTGTCCCTGCTGAAGAAAAGCAGGCCCAAAGCATGATGCTGCCACCACCATGTTTGACAGTGGGGATGGTGTGTTCAGGGTGATGAGCTGTGTTGCTTTTACGCCAAACATATCGTTTTGCATTGTGGCCAAAAAGTTCGATTTTGGTTTCATCTGACCAGAGCACCTTCTTCCACATGTTTGGTGTGTCTCCCAGGTGGCTTGTGGCAAACTTTAAACGAGACTTTTTATGGATATCTTTGAGAAATGGCTTTCTTCTTGCCACTCTTCCATAAAGGCCAGATTTGTGCAGTGCACGACTGATTGTTGTCCTATGGACAGACTCTCCCACCTCAGCTGTAGTTATCTGCAGTTCATCCAGAGTGATCATGGGCCTCTTGACTGAATCTCTGATCAGTCTTGTCCTTGTTTGAGATGAAAGTTTGGAGGGACGGCGGGTCTTGGTAGATTTGCAGTGGTCTGATACTCCTTCCATTTCAATATAATTGCTTGCACAGTGCTCCTTGAGATGTTTAAAGCTTGGAAAATCTTTTTGTATCCAAATTCGGCTGGATTTGGATACAAAATCTTCATGGTTCTCTCTGCGCTTTAAACAGAACCCTGAGACTATCAAAGAGCAGGTGCATTTATACGGAGACTTGATTACACACAGGTGCATTCTATTTATCATCAGTCATTTAGGACAACATTGGATCATTCAAAGATCCTCACTGAACTTCTGGAGTGAGTTTGCTGCACTGAAAGTAAAGGGGCCGAATAATATTGCACGCCACACTTCAGTTTTTTTATTTGTTAAAAAAGTTTAAATGATCCAATAAATTTCGTTCCACTTCACGATTATGTCCCACTTGTTGATTCATTACAAAAAATTTAATTTTATATCTTTGTGTGAAGCCTGAAATGTGGCGAAATGTTGCAAGGTTCAAGGGGGCCGAATACTTTCGCTACATACATACATACATACATACATAACTGTAATGGGCATTATCTTTTTTTAAATAGTTAGTTCCCAGCTAAGCTGACTACATCAACTCTCTGGAACTACATGAAAACTGAATAAAGAATTGTGAACATCGGCGGTGAGTGACACCAAACCATCCGACCTAAATCCATAACCAGATCCTCTACAAAAGTATTGGTAAAGGTGCACTTTATTGATCCCCATATGGCAGGGGTGCTCAATACGTCGATCGCGATCTACCAGTCGATTGCAAAGGTAATATTGGTAGATCGCATTACATTAAAACAAATGATCCGTTTATGCATTTGCGTGTAGAAGGAGATAACCCGAGTTTTGCGTATTCGCACGCCACAGTATTCCCCCAAAACAACAACAAACGAAACGTGCAACCTCTGATCACTGAAGAAGGATCTTACTGCCATAAAAACTGTTCACTGCTGAGAGCGGTTCGCAGCAGCGAACATCCTCCACATCAGATAACACCAAAGGGATAACTGGGACTCGCACTCAAAAACAACCAAAACAGGAGCTAAACCAGGATCAAACCAGGGCTGAGGACGGGGGTCAGTGCTTGTAAACATTCACCATGGATCTATAATAACTGGATAGGGTATTACTAGCTTAGAGCTGTCCCACCCATGGGCACAGGGGGCACCCGTGGTACTACAGATTAAAATCACATGGCCTACCCAGAAAAAAGTCCCATAGAACTCGATGTAAATTAAAACAGCTCGACCTCAGCTGACAGAGAACCTACAGCTTTCATAAAGATCGGATTTTAGTGTCCCTTGTCATCCTGAACTTTTTTTCTTCTTAAATCCCTGTTTTCTTTAAATCCACACTTTACTGCCACAAACTCTGCTCCTTTCCTTCCCGCTCTGCTGCTGTTCTGATGAGCAGCTCTGATTGGTTGCGCGGACATGACAGCCATGTCTGCGTGCATGAAAGCCACACACGCATGTTTGGCGCAACGCATCATGGGAGCTCGTCCACTGCCCAGAACGGGGAGAACCAGAC